TAAAAAATAAATAAATAAAATGGTGTCTACGTATATGATTCAATTCAAATTAAATTTTATCAATTCGATTTAGTTCATTTATTTTTAAATTTTAATTTTTTTTCATATAATATTTTAATATAATTTTTAATATATTTAAATAGATTTAAGGTATAAATTAATTATTTTATTTTATAAAAATTTAAAAAATGTATAAAAACTAATAAAAATATGTAATTTAATTCTTTTTTTTTTGTTTTTCACTTCTCAATCTAAATTTAATACATATATTTAATATTTAAATTTAATCCGAATTAAACAAAAAAAAAAAATCGATTCAAACAAAACTAAATACTATGAGTTCAAATTAGTTTTTGGTTTTCTCCATTTTTTTTTTTCTCACTTCTAGTGGTGAGAGGCATGTAGACTGACAAAGAAAGGAATTAGCAATTGGAATGTATAGTAAATAAATGAATATTTATTATTATTATTTATCTATTTATATTGGATTTAAATAGTTATAAATAGATGATTAATGGATTTGGATAGATAATTTATTATATCCATGATATATTTGGAAATGATATTAATAGTGTCTAATATCTAAATCTGTTTAAATTTTAATTAATAGTAACAAATGTCCAAATTCTGTATATGAATTTATTATCCGTTTACATATATAAAATATATAAATTTTTATGTGAAATGTTTTGAACTTTAGCAAGTGACCTTGATTTGTTATTAATTAATAATGAAATTAAATAATTTTTGTTTATTTTAAGAGTGAGTAAAAATTAATTTCAACCAATTTAATGAACGAAATCGATTGTATTTTGATTAACTTGATTCAATTTAATTAGTTTTAATTTTATTCAAGTTTTTTTATAAATTAAATTAATTGAATTGGTCAATTTCGATTTTTAAAATTGACAATTAAATTAATCGATTTCTTTTAATAAGTTTTTGGCATAGTTGTAATTTTATCCTCGTCTAAAAGAAAATTTAACCACTAGAAACCATATCCCGACCCCAATATAAAATCTAAAATCCCCAATTCTCATTCGCCACCAAATCTAAAAACCTCAAGTCCTAACTCCCACCATTGTTCTGCATTTGCACTTTTGTTTTCTTCTAGAGATTTAAACTTTCCTTTTTAGTAAATTTCCACCATGATCGATCATGGTCCAAACCAGATTAGCTTTCCGTGAAATAACTATAGATTTGAATAATCATGTGAGTTGTTTCGTAGTACACCCAAAAATTACATTGTCCAAAAAGAGATCAATAAGTATGATATAGATATGACTAGAAATGAGATGTTGGAGGAGATTGGTGAAGTAGCATCCTTGAATATAAGGGATCCAAGCTTGGAAAACAGGTGGAGGAGATTATCATGATGACCTTATTCAAAGGAAGCATGGTGGTTTTGATAATGATGGAAAAAGGCTCGTAAAAAGAGAAGAAAGATGGATTTTGTTTACTTGGATATTAATGCTTCTAGATTAATATTTTTTTTTTGTTTTGTTGGATTGATTTATATATAATTATCTTTGATTGACACTTTCAAATTAGATAATAAAATATAATTTATAGGTGCAATACAGTTTCATTGCATATCCTATAAGTTTTCATATATTAAATATGGTTGGTGAAAGTGGTAGAAAGATTGTGGTTTTTGGAATTTTTCTTACTTAATTGAATGATTAAACCGAAATGATATAAGTTAGTTTAGTTATGATTGGTTAGTGAAAATATTTTAATTAATTTAATTATTTTTAAAGAAAATAAATTAATTTAATTATTGATTTTTTAATCAAATGGTCATTTTCAATTTATTTTATATTTTGATAAAAAAATTTAATAATAAAATATTTTAATAATATTTTTAGATATTTAAAAAATATTATTTATTTAAATGGATTGAATTTAAATTCTAATAATAATAATACTAAATTTAAATAATGTTTAAATAAATTTAGATATTATAAATATTGAATAAATTTGTATTCAAATTTAAATATTTAAAAAAATCCACTTAATTACCTTCTAAAAGAAATGGATGATTCAGTTGAAAAACCCTAAAACCCAAAAGAAAAATTGGAGGCAAGGCGGCTTGCCAGCGATGGTCCCGTGAGATGGTCTCTGTGTAAGCGACCTGATGTGTCATACCCTACTTGATGTCCCAATGGATCAAACCGCCTTTCTTTTTTTTTTTTGTTCCTCACAATCTCATTATGGAGATTTTTCATAGGAGTCAGACAGTCAGACTCTTTCTATTAGATGGGCCCCAAAAGCTAGATATTTCACTTTGCAATAATGGAACGTATCATAGATTTCATCAATTGATCAAGTCGAAGGTACTGATTCATGGGGTTCGACTTTCCAGGAAACTACTCTCTCGGCTCCCTCGTTCTCGTTTTCATCATCACTGACATCACCAATTTTTTACCGCCGCCATCATCGTTGTATGAACTCTTCAACCCTCTTTAGAACTTCAAACATTAAAATAATTGTTCATTTGATTGTTAACTTTATTACTACTCCTTTTGGCTCTTTCAAAGAAAGAATTGTTTCTTATCTTGGGTAATAAATAAAACAAGAGGGGGAAAGAGCAAATTCTAGAGTGGGAAAATTTGACACATAATAAAAATTTTTCTCAATTCTAATAGTAATAATATATATTAAATTAATAATCTTCTCTTTTAAATGATTAAAGATTTGCATTACGTGTGTACATAACCTAATTGTCCCTAAAAAAAGAAACACCAAAAGACATGTGTCTTGTGTTCGCGATTTTGTCGGTCCATGAAGCTTTTTTTATGCCATAGTTTGGCCTACATATATTTTTGTTTTTAAATGGCATGCCCCCTCCAATTATGGATAGCTTGAGTCGATTTCTCGCCTGCACCATTCAAGCTTTCGTGAGCCATTTAAAAAAAAAAGATATTTTCAAGATCAAATTATTTATATTTAGTTAGGTTGATAAGCTTGGAAAAAATGGGTGCCAAATGATAAACACAATACTAGGCTTTAACCGTAAACAAACTTGGTAGTTGGTCTTGGATTATGGGGGCAGATTTTGATTAGGGTTAGGCAGGGGATTAGCTCATGATTATTGATTGAACTATAGACCTGACCTGACTCATCCGTGATTACAAGTGGGATTGATCGGCTCTTTCAAGTAGGGGGAAAGAGCCGACTTAAGAGACTAGGAGTAACAAGCAAAAATATAATTGAAGGCTAAAATGACTTAGTGCCAAACTTAGTCAAATTCCCATTTATGGCGTATAAGATTGCACAGCAAAGTCAAAAGGAAATCGGGGAAGGTCCATTCTGCTTCAACAATGATGCCCTACTTAAATAAATCTAAGATGCGAAATCAAACCCAATGATATCAGTAACATGTGATTTGTTGCCTTTCGTCAGACATGAAGAATCTGCTTTAACTTATTTATTTGGTAAAGTTTAATAAGGTTTTAATCTAATTATACTTAAAAATAAAGTTATACAGTAGTTTCTCTATAGGTTAAAAAGTTCGAAGAATTATGCTTGGCTTTGGCATATCTTTTTATTGGTAGTAGTCATCATGGTATTTTTAGGAACTGATCTCTCTTCTTCTATGATGTTTTGGGCAGCGTTAGTTCTCTCTTCAATTCATATAAGTGAACATTTTCTTTGTTAAATTTTTTTATTATATATACACAATATGTTTATATTTTAAATCCATCAGATATTAAATAATTGAATTTAATCATTAAAATTAAAATTTTAATATCATTAACATATCGCAACAAACTCATTACAATGTAACATCCCAGATCCATTTACTGTGTCAACTGTCTTGATTTTCATGTTTTGTATTCTTTAGCTATTTCCAATTATTGCGACAACTGTCAATGAAAATTCCTTGGTCTATATAACCCGTAAAAGAAGTAAACCAGAGAAACTCAGTCATTCAAACCTAACCCAAAATTTCTTGCATTTACATTAAGAATGGAAAAAATGCACTGAGCAAAATGAGAAAATAAAAAAAAAAAAAAAAAAAAAGAAGAGATCAGCATGGCATGTGAGCATTCCTAATCAAGTCATGAACGTGGGGCCTGTAAAGTTTAGTTCAACGAGCTAAACCCCATCAAACACATGAACAGCCAAAAGACAGGTGGGGAACTGTAGCTTTGCCATGTTTGATATCAATGCCATCATCCAAAGGGAAACCTAATCATTTATGAATAACATTTGGATGGCCCCAAGACTCACCTTGCCAAGACCTGAACCAACACAGAATAAAGAAAGAAAAAAAGAAACTAATCTAACTAATATATACCTTGAATCAGTCTTTCACTACAACTGGATCCAGGAAATAGGTTATTTATTTCATGAAACTATATTTAATAAATGATATTAAGCAGATTTGAAATTAAAATCTCAATATTTGTAATATTTTTTAATTTTTATTCTACAACTTCTTTTATATATATATAAAAAACCGAATCCCCATTACAAATAAAATTAAACAAACAAAAAAGTGATGTAAGAATGAATTTTTTTTTCTTTTCTTTTTTTTTTTCAAACTTTTTGGCCCAATGTAAAAAGGAAACTTTGCATCGCAGAAGAAAAAAAAAACTTCGAAAAAGTATGCTAAAAGGCAATTAGATTTGGTGGAGATTTCTAGCATGATTCGCGTCAAAAATCAAACATGGCTTTTAGAAAGAACCAATAATCAAGCTGATAAAATCTTTTGACTGCCATTTAATTATCTAGACGTAATCGCTTAATTATGACCAATAAGCTCTAAAAGTCCCATTCATGTGCTGCTCCACTCTCTCTTTCCTTTTTCTCACTCCATTTCTGATTATGTCTTAATTGCCTTGTTTAATTTCTGCTTTCTATTGTGTGTGTGTGTCTATATATATATATATATATATGTATATGCATTTTCTCCAATTTTAAAATGCATCTAATAAACTACTACTAATAGAAGGTAAATACCACTGGATTGAGTTTGGGCATAGGAAGAAGAAGCACAAGGTTGAGTGGCCCAATTCTACGTTTTTCCCTCAAACGGGGTTGAGTGGGACGATGGAGGTCTCATGGTTGCGTGGGCTAGCTCGACAAATGAGCACTTTAAAACTTGGGCCATGGCTCGATACTATATGCATATTTTAAAATGTAAGACGCACCTTTCTGAAGAAAAATGGTGTAGTAGTAATCTAATACTTCCTTTCCCGCCCAAAACAAACTGAACGTAACGGTGCCAAACAGACAAGCGGAAACGCCTGAAACCGCCGCGACAAACGCTGCTTAAGTGCTCGTCATCATTTCAGCACCTTAGCCAAAAAAATAAAGCAGCGTTTTCCATTTCTTCTTTCTAGAGAAAGGGGTAAATGGTAATTTCATTTTCTTTCAGCTTTTTCTTAGTTCGGCGTGCGTTACTCCATCTTCACAATTTCTGACAAATTGTTTGTGAAAATGTCTGAACGAATTTGGGGTATTATACGTTGTGGTTTTACACTTTATTTATTTAATAAACAAGATGTAGAAACAAGATTTTTTATATTTTGGTTGTTTAAAAATGACTTTTTTTTTAATTTTGTTAAAAATTTGTGCTTCAAATTTATGCATCCTTTTTCTGCTTACAGGAAGTTAATGAACAGGCTAGATGTAGAGAGTTGGCAAAGTCGTCCTCATTTACCACGCAGTATACTCAGAGGTCACTTAAAACATTTTTTTTTCCCTTTTATTCATTCTAACGTAAAGGATTTTATTGGTTTGGTTTGATTTACAGAGAGAACAGGTTGGATGGGAGTATTTGGTGAGGTTGCGAGGAGATCTAACTTTCCTGAGCTTTCATGTTTTGTAAGTATCTTTCATTTTTCCAGAAACCAATAGTATCTTGATTATGTTAACATGTTGATGATAATCCAATGTTACGTAATGAACCTGCAATATATATGTAGCTGATGTCTTTAATTATTCTTACAATATCAATTGCTAGCTGTTTTGTACTCCTTCATAGTTGTACATGTTATAATCATGTATTTTTGTATCTTTAATATATTCTTGACACACCGGCCGCTATATTGAAGTCTTGGATATATTTCTCAACTTGACAATGTATTCCTATCTTTGGAACTTCAATATATTTGTCAATATTGTTATTGTAAGCATTGATCTAGCTCTCCTTTTATATTTCATGCTCTATCCTATTTATTAATAGTTGCTTATCCTTTTTGGTGCTAGAGATAAGAAGGGAAGTGTGCATATTAGCGAAATTCAGTTGGATATAGCCTATCCTAGAGTTCCACCAATGGTTTCAGCAGTTTGTCTCCTATCTTTTTTGGTCCTAATTCTTCCAATGAAGGCCTAGATGTCTTTTATACTTTGTTCTGTCCTCAGGACGTCTCCTATACTTCAATTTAGAATGGTCAACGAACTCAAGACTGAAAAACTTGGTAGAACAGTTTCAAGGAGTATTTGTTTCAACAGTTCTGAACGCCATATAGTTCCATTGAACTTAAAATCTCTTTGTTGTGCAATGGCATATTTTACTCTTTGGTAGTACTTGGGAGTTTTCACTTTGTATCCAGCATCTAGGGAAGCTTCAAGGATTCTGGTCTACTTTGGATGAGATTGACAGGTCTCTTTGGGTTGTTGATTCAAAGCACACATTTCGTGCCATGTCTTGTCACCCAATTTACATACGTGAGCCATTACTTCATCGCACAACGTCTTATGTATATTAATTTGTTCTTTCCCCTTCTGTTATTATTCAACGCCTTCATATGTGTTCAATTATTTGCTTCTCAGGAAATGATAGCATCGTCATGTTGTCCATTAATATCAATGACCCTAGATCATTTCCGGAGTAAGAATTCATACGAATTTATATTAAAAGCTGCTAGCAGGTTGCTTTTTGTATGTATGAGTAATGAATTTTCAAGTTGTAGTTGGTGTCGTTTTATGGGTTCAGGTACTATTTTGAACTCTTTGAGAAAGACATGGAAAAGAAATAGCAGTAAATGGTATGCCCTTGAGTCTCATCTTAGATTTTAACTTTCACACTTGTTAAATAAGGTGTGGTTAAGAGAGGAGGAAAAAAAATACAGATATACTTGCTTAATTTTCTGCATGCAATTGGTTAATTCCTTATCTAGTACAAACTATGGCTCAATTAGATTCTTGAAGGCTTCAGCTAATTTTGATATTAAGAGGATGGGACCTTATAAATCATTGTGGACGAGGAATAGGCTTCATTCCATTGTAGTAATTTATATTTCTTGTGTTTTAAGGAAAGAGTGAGCTATTCCTTTTCTGTCCCTCTAAGGACTGTAATTATAGAATTACTGAACCTCTTATAAAGCAGTTATTCTTTTGATAAAAAGTGTATTTAATATGATGTACTTATTTTATATTTACTTAGTCTGATTGTATAGAATGAGGAATAAACCCTTATTGGAAAATCTTTAGTGTCTTCTGGAGACCCAACTGCCAAGGCCCCCTGATGAAGAGAAGAACAATCATCTAATTGAATGTGGAATCTCTTATGCTCAGTATCTCTCCATTGGTAATGCTTTAGATGCTTCTCAACTATTGTTTATAGACTTAACTCTAAAATGTTCATGTTGGTGATGAGCTTGGATCTAATAGTGGAAGTGCAACTGATTAAACTAGTGAGAATAAAAGTTGCAGTAAGGCTTTCCACAGCATGTGCGTAGTGGACTGGTTGCTCTCTATCACAATGACAAGGCAGTATGTTGAGCTCTTATTGTGCTTGTATCTTTCAATCTAGTTCATGCCACAATATAACTTTATTTCCTATGTACTATATGTTGTGATCAGTTGAAAATTGTATGCTTGTGGCATTTCCTGCTTCTGGCGTAGGGCTAACCATCTACTTGAATGATCAATCCTGGAAACAAGTTGGGTCACTCTGATCCTTTTTCATGTCCTTGTTTATGTCTCATTGATCTAGTACACCTAGTGCCCTTGCCTAGAGGTAGGACCCACTGTTACTCTGTTACTGACCTCATATTCTTCAGTTTCATCTCGGTACTGTAGCACTACCTCTAATCAGAAGGGACCTGCATGAAAGTTGAAGGGGCAATATAGATTGGATGTAATGTGGGTGTCTCTGGGATTTGGATGCATCTGCAATGTTTACCAAGCTTTTAAAGGCACAAATACATTATCCACAAAATTGCCCTATAAATTGTTGCAGCTAATTTCACCCATTAGGTTGAATGGTGTTAAGGTTTGATAAGCTGATGACATGGAACATTTTTGGTTGTTATTTTTGTGACATTTTATAAATATCTCTTTCAGTTATATGATTCAAAATGCAATCTTTTCATACATTGTAAATCAGATTGGCTTTGCATTCCCCACATTTTGATTATCTGATAAGTAGATTCGTATGATGTTATTATATGTTCTCACTCTTCCAAACACACAAACAAGTTTCCCAAGAAATTTTCTGAATTTGTCCCAACATTTTGATGCATGAGATTATCTGCAATTACTTTCTGGAAAAAATTTAGCAGAAATTGATCTTCAATGGTGTTGAAAGGCGAAACTAGCACTAGGGGTCTTTTTCATCTCATATCGTACCATGTTTACCATGGGGTTTCTCTTTTTTTTCCTTGGCAACTTGCCTCCTTGATTTATGGTTGTGAATGCTTGTGTTGCAGATCATTCAATGTTCATTTTGGGCATTACCCGTGCTGTTCAGAGCCAGTTGCAGTCAAAATCAATAGCACAAAGAATTAGAAATCTTATTAGTTCTAATCAAAGATCCCAAGCTTAGGCAGCGAAATCAAGAGTCATATGACTAATTCACAGTGGGGATTCTTTTATGGGAATTGAGTCATGTTTTGGAGAACAATTTCCATCTCCGCACTTCATTTTTTTGAAAGCATGTTAAAATCTGATTGAATGGAATGGAGTTGCAGAAGATATTGCTGCTATGCTGCTGCTTCACAAGATGGTCCCTGCTCTCTAGTTTTAATTTGCTGCCCCGTGGCATTTGATTGGGGTCGTATCATGATTTATGCCTGTTAAGCCCTAGACTTGTAAATCCTAGTAAATACACCTAAAAAATGAAGATAGTTGGCTCTGCACAAGTTGTTTATTTATTTATGGATGTTAGCAGCTCACATGGATTACAACTCCTTGATTGAATGACCAAAATGCAGGGCATCAAACTATGAAATTAAGTCACCAAAAAAATTAAGCCAATGGCACTGGATGTTCACGTTTTCGTTCTTGTTCTCAATTCATGGGGCAAAATTTACATGAAGTTTTTTAGGTAAAATTTATAAAATTCTTTTCTAAAAATGATTTAATAAAATCTTTAATAAAAAATTTAAATCAATATATTGATAGAGTTTAATGTGAAAATTAATAATATGTAAAAAAATTATCAAAAATATTGTTTATAATTCAAATTTGATCGATATTTATTCAACGATAAAAATTTTATTCAATTTTTTCTTAAATGTTTATTTAAAAGTATATATCAAAATTTATTTAAAATTTTTTAAAAAAATTGTATACTTTATCTATATAGTGAGATCTTTTAACCTATTTATTTTGATTTTTAATTTTAATTTTTATTTAATTATTTCAAATAAGAAATTTCATTTAAGTATTTTCCTGATCAATGTGTCATTAATGCAAAACTTTATCAGCAGCTACAGCTTTGGCTAGCTGTTTCGAGCATGAAATTCCATCTTTTCCGAATAATGAAAAAAAGAAAGACCATAACCTCGACCTCACGTAGAAATGAAGGACCTTCGAAACAAATAATATGGACCAAGATAAGGATGAACCGACGACTAATCCTTCACCCTAGGACCGTGAATCACATTCTTAATCAAGAACCTGCTTTTAAGCATTTCCTTGACCAAATGAATCAAAAACTGGCCAAACGTTCAAGTGAAAACAATACATCGAAGAAGGGGGACCATTTACAAATCAATTCGAAGCAAATATTCAAAAACCATTGAATTTCCAGGCGTTCTGTCATTTCATTCCGATAAATCCATTTTGTTGTTTTGCATCATCATTGGTGGTGTTTGCTGGATACCCTTTACAGAAGTGTACCCGTAAAATAAACCAACCTTTTTTTTCTTTTGGGAAAACCAGTAAGATTTTTGCCTTTGGCCAGAAAATTGAGATAGGTGAAAATTTTTTCATTTGAAATTGTCGGAATTTGAATTAAGATTATTCAATTAATAAAAATTCGTCTGATTGTTGTCTTGAAATCTTAATTTAACGATAAAGATTTAATGTCGAACAATTTTAGATATATAAAAAAAGAGATTCTATAATAATAAAAAAAATTAAAGTTAAATTAATAAATTATCATTTTGACGAAAGCTTTTATTGGGCACAAAATAATATGCACCAAATACAGACAAATACATGTCTACAAATAGAAATTGACTTTGCCTATTCCACGAATCAACACCTTTCACTTCACAATTATATGCACACAAGGATAACTAATTACCCTTTATAACCCCAATTTTGCATGGCTCTCTTACAACATACATATCGCTATCGTACAAAGCGAGGCATGTACGTCTATGACATGAAACGTATGGTATATCAATATTCTGGACACTTGATGGGTTGGATATGGAAACTTTGGATAGCATTCAGATTCCAGCCATGCACTCCGGTGGGGTAACTGGGTATCGGGACTTGTCGGTGCAGTAATCGTAGATCATGTGGTTCATACGAACCCACCTGTATCTTCTAGCTTCCATGGCATTGAGGGCTTGATAAGCAGTGCCTTCCCACCAGTTCCCCGGGTTTGAGACACAGTTTGCTGGCCCTGGCACCGGACATCCTTCAATGTCAAAGTCCTTGTAGTAAGCTAAGAAAGGAGCTTTACTCCAATCAATTTTCTCCAGGCCTCCTCTTGTGGCCCAATCATCGGCTTCCCACAGTGTTGAATACACTCCCATAGGCTGCAATTTTGGATATGGGATATTTCTAGCTTCATTGTTCTTGTAAACTCTGATGGGCACTTCATCAACATAGAACCTGTAAAAAACACCAACCAAATAATTAATAACCATTTGTCAATTTAACACAACTAATACTTGTATATCTTAAATTAAAGTCATCCCAAATTGATCATGCTTGACCTTATGTATAGAACTTTATAGTGTCTGATAAAAAGTTGATATAACTTTTACTGATTTGAAAGATTTTTTTTCTATCTCTCGCTTTCCTCCTCTCATCTCATGACCATGTACAAGTGTCGGCTATGTTTCTGATTTCTACAGCTATTGAACTTACACAATATGATGATGGTTCCACATGATTGTGTAAGTATGGAAATCTGCAGCAGGATCAAACCAAAGGTTAACCCTTTGTTCCCTGTCACCCTTTCCATGAGCATAGATATTGGTTTGGACAGTGTAAGGCTGCCCACTACGGTTTCCCAAGAACTCGAAATCTAGTTCATCTCTTACAGTATCTGTATCAGAATTCATCTGCAGTCCGAAAAAACTGCTGCATTAGTACCGTTAAAGAATTAATTATTTTCAGTATTTGAAAATGGAGAAGTGAAGTATTGAAGATTATGTATTATACATAAAAGGCGGTGACTGTTCCTGCAGAGTCACCAGGGATGAGCTTGATCTTTATGCTGACACGTCCGAACAAATACTGCCTTTTGGAAGCAAATCCACATCCTGAAAAAAATTTGAATAACAAAGTTAATCATAATTATCTAATTTAAGGTTTAATTTCTATAAAAGAGTTTTACTTAAAATAATAAGTGACCCCACAAAAGGGTAACCTGAGTTTTGGTCTAGAACAAGTTGGATGGTCCTCCCTCCATCAATTTGCCTAATATGTGAATCAGACCAAGTGATTCTAAAATCTTCAAGGAAAGTGGCTGGTCGCGCCCAAACAGAGAAGGAAATTGCAAGAATACAAGAGAACAGCAAAAGAAAAGCATTCCTTAAAGCCATGGTCATGTTTTAAGTTTGATTTAGAGATGAAATGTGAGTGTATTGCGTACATATATAGGCGGCAGATTAAAGAGAGAAGGTTTATGTAGACTGCTGCATTCAAATGAAACGTGCCATCACCAGCTTGAGCTTTCGATCCAGCTAATTGCAAGCAGTCATTAGGCCCTACCCAACTTAACTGTTTCTATTTTTTCCTCTGGGAACCTGATCTCTAATTCTTCATAACTTATGCTTCGAAATTTCATTTATGAAATTGATTTGGACATGAACCTGACAAAGTCTAGACAATTAGCACTGTACTATACCAAGCTGTGCCTAAAAATTTTGGTCAACCAGCCATGGACTTATAAAGCTATTGCCAGCCGAGAGATGGTGATTGATATTGAACGGCCGATTGGTCTGATCCGCCCAGTTCAGACCCCGCCACCAAGTTTTGGAGGTGGACAAGGGCTGGACTTGGTTTGCACATAAATGCTAGCTTCTAAACAAAATCTGAAGATGCAATCGATAATTGAAATTACATTAAAAATTTTAATATCTAACACGTGGCAAATTGAATTCCATTCAATTAGTACTAGGATAATTTTGAGTTGTCTTTTAAATGTAGCACTGTTTATAGTTTTTTTTTTTTGGTTGAAAAACATTTTGCACCGAATTGAGAAAAACTTGATTGATTGAGAATTCATTTAATAGTGGCAGGAGAGAAATTTTTATGGCGTAACAATTACGAAAATTCAATTATAAAATGATATCTCGAATCTTTGTCCATGAGACTAAATTAAGTTTAAAATAAATAATGAAATACTTTATTTATATTTTGACACAATTATACCTTTTATAAAATGTAATTAAATTTTAATTATTATTAATTAAATTTAAATATTAATTTTTAATATAAATTTTTAACCATAATTATAATAAAATTTTTAATCATAATTATAATAATAATTATTATTATTTTTAAACTCAATCAAAATAAATTTCATCCTCCGTCTAAATGATATGGAACTTAATAAAATCTACGGGACAAAGCGATCATTCTTTGCTTTCTCTCCTTTCCATAATTTGAATTGGAAGAATACTATGATTCACCAAACGCTGGATGCCACGTGTTTTCGACCTCCACTCACCATTTTTGTTGATTTCGGAGCCCAAACTAGTAGAACTTAACTTATAACGTGGAGGGTTTTGATTTGAAGCAGGCCTTGGAACGGTAACCATGGACTGTTGTTTGTAAATAGTGGGGGACCTCAATTAATGTGCATGTTGCAAAGGTGAGAAAACCTTACCCAATACCGTCACGTGGTAAAAGAACATTGGTCATTTATTAATTTTTATTATTATTACTTTCATCTACTCCTAGTGATGATAATTCAGTCCTTACAATGAAGTAGCGATTTCCTAATTACGGAAGATAGGACGACAAATAAATTTGGCTCTTTCTGCTTGATTAAAATTATGAATAATTAATATGAGTAAACTTAATTTGCAGGATTGTACATTACTGATTTAAAAAAAAAAACTTAAAACATGAACTAGTTCTTCAAAATTAGGTTTCTAATTTAAAGCTAGGCAGCTTTTCTTTTTTTTTTTTTTTAAATAAAAAAGCCATCGGATTTTCATATCTTATATAATCTATTTTTTTTGTGCTTGAGGTTATAAAAATTAAAATTTAATTATTAAAATTAAATGTTTAACACTCTATCAACATATCATATAAAAATTAAAAAACTCAGGTATGATTTGAAAATCAAGCTAATTAATATCATTCATTATCGATCTTCTCTCTTGTACGATGCTTTTTTTTAAAAGCAATGTCCAAGGTTACGAAGTTGCAAGTTATATACCTAGGCTCAACAAATGCTTATGAAGTAAAATAAGAGGAAAAAATACATACCAAGATAAAGATAATAAACTTGATAACAACAACAATAAATTAAATTTTATATACCATAAATTCAGTATCAAAGGTATGAAAGGCAAAAAAAAAAAAATTATATTAGATCATAGTTTTAAATTTTTTTACATTACTTATTTCTATCAAAAATAATATTTTTATCTACTTATTTAATTTTATTATCATTTTTTATTATTTTTATCTACGTTTTTTGTGATCTATCTTTAAAAGTTTTTATCTTTCTTAAATTCAAAAATTCATTTCTCCTTATTGTTGCATAGATAAACTTATATTTCATATGTCCAAATCATCTCAAACAAGCTTTTCTTACTTTTTTCTCTATTTGGATTAATTTTAATTTTTCTTAAATATCTTCTATTCTGATTTTGAAAGACAATAAATTTGATGGCACAAAAATATCATTCATCTCTTCCAAACCGACAATGCAAATTAGGTTTGGCCAGTTCTGCGCCAATAATGCAATGGATCTAACCATCACTTGATTAATTATGCAAAAGTTGGCTCAATTATTAATTTCGAAATAAAACCTTGGGTTGTACAGAAGGTTTAATGTCTTTGCTTTTTGCCGGTAATTGAGCATGCTGGCATTGACAAAGCAACAACAATAAGACGTATCTTAGAGGCAGGTAATGGCAATTAAGGTTCTCATCTTCCCTTTTCAATCGCTATCACATAATTTGGACCGTTCTGATAATGATTACATACAAAACTTTAGTGTCATAATTTCAAATTCAAGTAATAGTAAATGCCCTTCATCTTAATTCAAATAATTATAGTAATCATATAATCATAAAATTCATACGAAATAATTAGGGGGGTCTGTTTGAGAGGATCTCAAGCAGATCAATGGCATTATCCAACAAGAAAATAATGGAAGAAGCTCGTAGATTTAAACACTTTATTTCTTTTAATAAACAAATTAAGTTGTAGTTTCCTAAAAATAATAATTTTCTTCCTCATCATTCGTTATGGATGAGTAAGAATAACAGTGGCTAAGTCTCATTTAATGTTGCATGGCAATTGCACGTGTAGGCAGGCATGCATAAGCCCTGAAAGAGATCGCTCAAACATCTCTTAGTCTTACATGCATACGAAGACTTTTGCCTAAAAAAATTGGCCAATCATTTAAGACGTATGTTTGCTTCTTTTTCAGTCTCTCTTTCTTCTTTTAGTTTGAAAACAATCATTGGCCTATAACCGTTTTGGCCATTGAAAAAACACCAATTAAGAACTCACTTACAGCCTCCAGCCAACTCATGAACTCAACACCTTCATGCTGCCGGGGACACCAAATTTATTCGGTCTATTATTTTTATTTTAGTATAATATTAATAATTTTAATAATAATAATAATAATAATAATTTTAAAAAATAATTATAAATTATAAATAAAAATAAAAAACAAAAAAATAAAAAAAAAGAAAAACAAAAAGTAGGGTGACTGGTGCTGTTGTACCTTACAACCCTCTGACCAGCCCCCTGTCCAACCACCAGACTAGACAGTCACTTTATCACACCTACGACTACCATCTATCCCTTTATTTGAAGCTCTTTAAAAACCCAAAACTTCTTTCCCTTAGCTCTCTCGGACCAACCTTTTCGAAAGTTGAAAACGCTCGGATATCCCTTCACCAGAACTCCAAAAAAACACACACCCCTACCAACAACCTCTCCGACGAAAAAAAACCCAAACAACCCTCAAATACCTAAACAGAAAAATAAACAGAACCACAAAAATCAACATAAAAAAATCATAAAATAGAAACCACAGTCATGGCCGAATCGAAGAGGAACCCAGCACCGAGAAGATACCTACAACAAAAAAGAAAGGTTATTAGTTTGAGTTTTTTTTCTTTTTTTAAAAAAAGAACAAAAAACTTTGAACCCCGATCTACGTCGATCGGGGTCGTTTTCAGCGAAGAGAAGATCGGATCTGGAAAGATCACGTCGAAATTAGCTTTTAGGAGGATTTTAAAATTTTCGATCACCGGCGACCACTACCGACGGTGGCCCAGGCGACGGCCGCCACGGCAGTTTGGTGGCTGGATTTCAAAAGGGGCAGGAGAGAACCTAGAACTCCGAAAAAAAATTTTTGTGTGGAAACAGAAAAGTGAGCTGAAAAAAAATCTAAGAGCTGAAAAAAATCTAACTTTTATAGAAAACATTAAAAACAAAACGACGTCGTTTTGAGTATAGGGTCAAAACAACATCGTTTTAGGCCAAGGAGGATCTGTGCGTTGACCTAGATCCGATCGAAGATTCGCATGTTGACCCGGATCTGACTCGAGATCCGTGCAATCCGACCCGTGGACTCGTTCTTCCAACAGCTATTGACCAGTCCAGACGAACCGTCAGTGAATCGGTCTGAATCACTGGACTGTCAGAACCGTAGATTGAATCACCGAATTGGTCCAACCGGTCCAGACCAGCGTTGACCGGTCTGGTTTAGGTAAAAAAATTTTTTTTTAATTTTTTAATTTTTTTATATTATTATTTTTGTTATTTTGAGTTTGTTTTATTTATTCTTGCATGATAAATTTTTAAATTTATTAGAATAAATGTCTCATTGTCTTAATAATAATAATAATAATAAAAACGATTAAAAATATATATTAAAAATGTTCAAAAATAATAATAATAATAATTATTATTATTATTATTATTATTTTCTCTGCCTAGATGTTGGAGGGAATAAAAATATTTTTCTAAAAAATAATTCCGCTTAGATGTTAGAAAATTATTATTAATAAATTTTCATAAAACAAAAATATAAGAAATTTTTAAATTAATTTTCAAAAATTATTAAAATTGAACTTGCTTCAAAAATCCACCTAGATGTTAGAAATTTTTAGAGATGTTCTTATTTTCTTAAAAATGAAACCTTAAATACTATTCTTAATTTTCAAAATCTTAGGTTTCTAAAACCCCTAAAATTCAAAATCTTCTAAAATCTAAAATCCTAAAATCCAAAACCCCTAAAAATCTAAAATCTCTAAAATCCAAACTCTAAAATCAAAACCCTAAACCTTCCATATCCTAAAATTCAAGTTTTAAAACTCTCTAAACCTTCAAAATCTCTACTCAAGCCCTTACTCAAAACCTCCTAAAAATCTTAAGGACACGTGTGAAAATTCTATTTGAAGTAATTTGTTCTCGAATGCCACCTAGATAATGGGGTATTTAAAAAATTTTACTTCGTTAAGTCTTTTCACATGATTTCTTAA